TTTACTCGGGCCCTCCTGACCTGTGATTAAGTCTGGAGTGGACAGAGCCCACAGGCTGCCTGGGGTCATCCATGTAGTGCGTCTGAGAGCCTGCAAACTCCCCAGAAGCCTGGGAATATATATAGTCACATGCTGCATAATTAATGTCAGTTAACAACAGACCACATATACAACAATGGACCCATAGGATTATATTGCCTCAGGTCCTTGTAACCACCTTAGCTTGTGTAAGTATACTATGCGACATTCACACAAGAATGCAATCATCCTGTGATGCAGTTCTCAGAATATGCCCCTTGAATAACATGCATTATTCAAGGCGTGATTATATAAGCAATCATATACTAATATTCCTTGACTTATGTTAGGGTCCATTCCAACAGCTCCATTGTAAGTTGACAGTATTGTAATTTGAAAATGCATTTGATACATTGAATCTAACAAATATCATAGCTTAGCACTATGGTATAGTAGAGTACTGGTTGTTTACCCTCCTGCTTGCATCTCTTGCTGCTATTGCCCAACATCACAAGGGAGTATTGTATTGCTAGCCTAGAAAAAAATTTCAAAATTCCAAATTCTAGTGTGGTTTCTACTGAATGCATACTGCTTATACACATTGTTACTCAGAACATCATAAGTCAAACTATCATAAATTGAGGACCATCTGTTATCAACAAGGAATTGTCTCTGTAATAAATAAGAGATCTTATAACTTGACAACAAAATCACTAATTTAAAAACACACAAAGGATCTGAATAGATTTTTCTTCAAAAAATATATATACAAATGTCCAATAAGTACATGAGAAGACGCTCAACATCACTAGCCCCTGGGAGGTATAAAAAACAAAATCACAATAATAATATTGTGGTTTAATAATGCCCCTTCACATCCACAGGAAAGGCTAGAATAAAAAAGATAATAGTGAGTGTTAGGAGGTGTATGTAGGGAATTGGAACCCTCACGCATTGCTGGTAGAATTGTATGATGTAGTTATTTTGGAAAACAGTTTGACAATTCCTATGAAAGTTAAGAAAGTTAAGAATAAAGTTACCATTGGTATATAAAACTATTTTTCATATTTAAGTAAAATGTATGTCTACTTTTTATATTTAAATTAAAATATTATTTGCAATTAGTCTATGATAAGTGAAACAATATGTAGTTTACCCCAAAGAAATCACTAAAAAGTAAGATGAAGAATTAAATCTAATGAGTCAATGAGATAGAAATGGAATCACTTGGGGAAAAAAAATTTAATCCAAAAAAAGAAAACAGAAGGCAGATGGGACCAATAGGTGGGTGGCTTAAATTTACGTATATACCATTACATATAAATGGTCTAAATATTTCGTTCAATGTCAGATTGGATCAGATAGTAATGCTCAATGCTCTGGTTGTCGGTCCACTGTCTCTTAGCTCTAGAGCCTCCCTTCTTAGCCATTTGTGACACTGACAGTTCTCCCTTGCCACTTGGAATATATTAGGCTATATCAGCAGAGGGCACTGCAGAGAGTCTTCGACATTTCCATTTGCTCTTAGGCATCACACTTTCCCTTTCAAAACATTGTGTTGTTTGTCTCTTGTTTGGATCCTGACTATGTAAAATTGCCACCAGGAGTGGTCCCACGAGACAATCCCTATAAAAATGGGATTTGGAGGTTTGTTTGGTTGTGTCCCTGGTCTTGAAGGCAAAGCTGAACTTCCTGCCAATGAGAAATGGTATGCTAATAATTCCTAGCATGCAGTGACATCCAAACTAGTCACATGTGGCCAAGTGCCAAAAGCATGTGCCTTCAGAGGCCAGTTGGCTGGAGCTCTTGACCATCGTGACAGGGATGATGACCACGAAGACTGTGATGTGGGGTGAATTCTTTTGTGGTTACTTGATTGCTTACCAAATGAAAATGAAATATGTTTATCCTTTAATTCTCAGTGTAAGTAATAGTCTGAGAACCAGAAATCTTCCATGATAACTCTAAAAGATTCTCCAGTTTCTTGTAGGCACTGGGCTGATATCACGTGAAATGAAACAAAAACTTAATTGTGTAGGTTGATGAATCACACTATCATTTGAGTTCAGTCTTATCAAGTTTTGCATGTGAAAGGGCATTGACAAGAAAGAATGGGATCCTGAAGTTTGGAATGGGGATATCTGGTTGGATCCAAATGAAAGCAACAACTTGAAACCTTAAGTAACCCTGGTCATCCCTTACCAGTGGAATTAGTTTTCTCTCCTGAGCCTGAGATAAAATAAAAATACTGTGATAACCTCACCCGGGACAGGTGCTTTGAGAGGGCACACTCAAGACCCACCACAATCACCCCCTACATAAATAGGATGAATCTCAGCTTTTTGTTCAGACATTAAACCAACCTTGCATTCCTGGGGTAAGTCACATATGGTTTGGCATTCATTAGGTATCAAGTGTGGCCAGGAATCTGCAGGTTTTACCAGACCTGTGATTCCTAGAAACATTGCTTTGGGCTTTACCAGGCCTAGGAAACATCTAAGAAATTTCTTTCATGCAGCAAAATTCTATAGAACTATGCCCGACAGGTTGGACAAAGGTGAATCCTGTTTGATGTTTCTACAAAGTCCTAGAACAGGGACAGTTGATCTATAGTGACAGAATTCAGTGACACCTGGGAAGAGATTGGAGGAAACCTTTTGGAAAGATGGAAGTGTCTTAAATGGTACTTAGATTAACCAATGTATGTGCTTGACAAATCATTTTCATGCACACTTGAAACTTGTGAATTTTATTGTGTATAAATTATACCTCCATGAAATCATTTTGAAAAACTATCCTGTCTTATAAAAAAAAAAATTGATGTTTCAGACTTTTAAAAACATGTTCACATGGTATCAAGTGAGCAGGTGTATGGCTCATTGCTTCAATTATGCATTAAGTATTGAGTACATAGGACCAGCAACAAGCCAACATTTTCTTTGTGTATTACTTATGCTCTTGCTTTATATAAGAAATAAGACCAGAGTCAGGCTTTTGCACAGAGTATTGGGAGGAGAATTGCAGGGAGTGGGCTTGCCTTCAGAGAACTGTTTTTAGAGAACCCTTGCTTACCCCATCCACCTACCCCCATACCAGACACCTCCAGATGGAGAAAACTACACCCCCTCCTAAGTGAGAAGGAAACACTGGATGATTAATTGAGTGAATATTCACAGACTTGGAGGGATTGACATTCTGAGACCCCTCAGAACTTAGCATGGAGGACGTGGGTCAAGTTCCAAGGGGCTATCCCTCAAATTGTCACTGCTACCTGGAGTGCCCCAAGTCAACAGCAACTGGCTTTGACCTCCAAAGTTGGTAGTAATCTGAATGTGTGTGATCCCAAGACCTTTGGCAATATGTCCCCAAAAGGAGCCTGTGCCATCCCTCTGGACAAGTAAGAACCCTAGGTTCTAGCCATTGCTCTGCCAATTGACTCACATGGTCACCTGGGGCTATTACCATCACTCCTGGATGATGTGATGAACAATTACCAGTTATTATTTGGTTCAAGATCCCATTCCTCAAATGAAATCCCTTTCAGGGACTTAAAGTAAGAAAAAAATGAAGAATATCTATGATGGCAAAGGGACTCAAGGCCCATGCCCCTCTCCTGCTTGCTCTACTCCTAGGCCCTTGAGAAATTTTTGAAAACTACCAGTTCTGCTGAGCTCCCAGTCACACAGCTGCACCCTGACTTCATGGAAACTCCATGATTCAAGGACCCAACCCATCACCATGACCTCAGAGTGACTACATCAGCCAGTGACTTCATAGAACCTGACTCAGGAAAGTCTGTGTGGAAGGACTCTTGGTCTCAAGAGTCCAAGTCCCCTCTCTGAGGACTGCCTGCCTGATCCCCCCCACCATCCTGACCACATAGGGCTCTAGTGTTTAAGGAAGTTTTTTTTTTTTGGGGGGGGGGAGGGGGAGGTACGCTGCTGGGGATTGAACCCAGGGCCTTATGCATGCAAGGCAAGCACTCTACCCACTGAGCCTCTTAAGGAAGTTTTAATCCTCCTACCCTGAATTCTACCCTCCTTGTAAATTCAGAAACAACTGGATTCCAAGTTAGAGTGGCACATCAAGAACAGGTAAAGAGCTGAGGCTCAGTGCTAGAGTGTTTGCCTGCCACACATGAGGCCCTGGGTTCAATCCCCAGCAACACACACACACACACACACACACACACACACACTAAAAGTCCACTCCTTACCTTAGATGTTGGCGGCTCCTGGGCTTAGGCATCTCTTTCCTTTCCTAAGATCCGACCCATGGGCCATGTCATCATCCTTGTTATTCCAAGTGCTGATCACAGTGATGTACCAGGCACTGTGCTATATAGCTCACATGGATCATATCTAATCCCCACCACCCTGTGAGGTGAGCTTCATGTACCAATCATGCACCTGAGGAAAACTGAACCTTGGGACACTCACAGGCAGAGCCAGGACTTACTTGGAGCCAGTGCTCATGGTGGGGCATGGATGCTAAGATGGAGTCTGTCTGGGCCTCGGCTTCATCTCTGAAGGGGTGACAACAATGATCCCCTCATAGGTTGTTGGATGATTAAATGAGACAGTCCACACAGAAGTCCTCAGCATAGGGCTAGGGCTGTACCTCAGTAGTAGAGCCCTTGCCTAGTACGTGTTAAGGCCCTGGTTCAATCCCCAGCATTGTCAAAAAAAAAAAACGTCCTTGGTACAGTACCTGACACTCAAGAAGCTGAAAGTGCAACAAATTTCCCTCCAGCTGGGCATGGTGGTGCCTGCCTAATCCCAGCATCTCAGGAGGCTGAGCTAGGAGCATCATGAATTCAAAGTCCGCCTCAGCAACAGCAAGGTGCTAAGCATAAATATAAAATAGGGCTGGGGATGTGGCTCAGTGGTTGAGTGCCCTGAGTTCAATCCTTGGTAACCACCGCCCTCAAAATTTTTTTTTTTTTTTGCTTCAATTTCTTTCTAAATCCACAGACACCAGTCTTTTGTAGAAAATAGGATTTATTATCACATTTAAGGTGAACACTGAATGTTCTAGAAATCTTTTATATACATCATCAGTAGTTTCAATTTATTCAACATACATAAAAAGCAAAGCCCACCAGGAAATACTTTCCTCCTGAGGACAGGGCACTTACAAGCCACTTCCATTTTTGACAGTGATTCACATTGACTTGGCACAGCTAGCAATAGGTTTGTTCCCAGAGTCACCTGCTTCCACCCGCAGACCCTCCTCAAAAATGAGAGCAGCAAACCAACAGGATTCACAGTGATGGAAGGAAAGGCATCTTGGGAGCTTCTACAAAAGCCCTGAGTTATGTCTCAAAGGTCAGGCTCTCAGGTTCTGAGTCCTGTGCCACCAACTCAGTCACATCACAGCATGATATAGTGTCACAGCTTCATTTCTAGGCAATTTTATAAAATTATTACAATTAGGAAGACAACATTGAACAGGTATCACAGCCCTTTTGCAGCAAGTGGTTGTCCCCCAGGTCAAGGATAAGGTAGAAACCTTCACTGGACGCTGACCTGTCACCACCACCACCCATGACACAGACGAACTTGGGCTGGGCGATCATCAGCAATGCTTGATGAGGGGTGTGTGGCCTGATGTCATATTAGATGCCCAGAAATGGGGTCGTGAGGGGGAACATCAGGAGAGTACCCTGGGGTCCTGCGGAGGGGCGTGTCCCCAAGCCTTCCTCAAGCTCACACACAATGACAGCGGAGCCAGCACTGGCAGCTCTTTGGGGCACCTCCGCTAAGAGCCCTGGGCAGTAACCTGGGCAAGTCCTAGCTGCCATCCCAGCACCTTGGCTGCGGGTTAGCTCAGCTGGCCACAGTCTGTGATGACAATCTTCTTGGATGTCTTCCCACTCTTTGAACCAAAAGATTCAATTTTCTTCACAACGTCCATGCCCTCTTTGACGTGGCCGAACACAACATGCTTGCCATCCAGCCTGGGGTGCGAGACAAGCAGACACAAGAATAGCACAATGTCACTCAACAGCCCAGCCACTCAGTCATGGGAACATCTGCCAATTCTGATAGACCCCACTGATTCACTCCTGATGCCCCCAAACCCTGCTGAGCTCCCCCAACACACTCCAGCAGTTGCCCAGTTCCCAAGACAGGTTCTGCCACACACACTGAGACCTTGCCTCAGGCCACTTGGCCTGAACCCTGGTAACCTGGTCTCTGATAAGTGAGCTGTCTGTGACAAGTGTTCTGCCCGGGGAGATGATGGGATATTGAACTACACTGAAGTAAGATGTCTACACAAGGGAACCTCTTTCACAGTCAGGAACTGTGAAACGAGAGCCAACATAACAGGTGTGGAGGGACACAGAAGCCCTGAGCAACTCTTGATTTGAGAAAGTTCCAAGAATGTGAAAGGCACTTAGTCCTGCTCCAGTGAAGTCAAGAGTGTAACAGCCAAAGGTGGAAGTGGAAGGCCCATTAAAGGCTCCATGGAAGGAGAGAAGACGGGCAGCAAGACAGATCGCCCAGCCCTGATGTCCCATCTTTCTTGATTGAAAGGGAGAGACTAGGAGGTGTGCATCCCACCTAGGAAATCCTGGAAATGAGCTTAAGTCTTGGCTCCCAGCCAGCTGTTGGGCCCCCAATCCCAGTGGCCCAGGGCTAGAACACTAGGGACTCCGAACAAAGAAACTTACCTCTTAATAGAAGATTTGTCAGGGAAAAGACATCCCCGGAGCCCACAGGCATGTGGGAAAGGGGGCCAGAAGGGAGTTATCTACAGGCCTGAGCTAACACAGGGCTCGATGAAAACCTGCCATGAAATCCAACCATCTACTGCGGTGTTTTCCAAGGTACAGCCCATGATGAGGAGTGGTGGCTTGGACTAAACCAGGGGGGAACCTGCTTCTACTCAGGCCAAGGTGAGCCCTACTGGCTGCGGCATTTTCCAAGAGTGTGTGGCAGAGAAACCCTCTTGTGTGTGGGCGCAAAATACACAGCAATGACAGAAATCTGATTATGACAGAGTTGTAGGACAACCCGAATTCTCCCTCAATCCTTTCACTAACTTTCTCATATAGACACACAGGAGAGGGCTAGTGTCCCAGATGGGACATGCACAAAGTCTCCTCCCTCCCTCCATAAGGGCATCCCTCACCCCAGAGGGCCTGGGGTGGGGAACTCACCAGTCTGTCTTTATGGTGCAAATGAAGAACTGGGAGCCATTGGTGTTGGGGCCTGCATTTGCCATGGACAGAACACCTGTCAAAACAAGCAGAGGTGAGCCACAACACCCCAGGGGGCATCTCACTAGGAAGCCATTCAGAAGAGACAATGGCTTAAACCACATCAAGGACGTCTGAGTCTGCAGATCAGAAAACCAGAAGAGAAGCAGGCCCAACATGCCTGCCCTTGCTGCCTTCAAGGAAAGGGCCTTGGGGAAGCTCTCAATGAAAGAGCTGAGCAGGATCCCCAGTCCTGACTTCTAGACTTTTCCACACTCCACCATGGTCTCTCAGGGGATAACATGCAGGGTTTCTGCTTAAAGGCCCTCCCCATCCAAGTTCCCAAAGGGAAGGCAGTATTCCAAAGTCAGAACCTGGAAGGAGAAAACTCCAGGAAAACCCAACGGGCCAGAGTGCTAAGCCACCCCAGGGGACGCTGAAGGAAGGGAGGGGCACCCTGAGATCAGACTGCAGCCTCCTGGGGCCGCAACTGGGAGCTTAGAGAGGAGGACAGCAGTGCCACTCACCTGGCCCCACATGCTTCAGCGTGAAGTTCTCATCAGGAAAGCGGCTCCCGTAGATGGACTTGCCCCCAGTGCCATTGTGGTTGGTGAAGTCACCTGCCTGCACAAAAGCACCCTCTAAGTGGTCCCATACCAAGCTGGCGGCCAGCAGCCCCCAACCCACTCAGGGCCCCCCCAGCCTGATAGGCATCCAGTGAAATGAGGACTAGTAAAATAATGAGGAAAATGAGCAAAAATAAAGTATAGTTAAGTATTTTCTGTTATAACAACGACCCTTGAACAGTGAGCTTTTTTTTTTTTGTCTGAGGTAATTTGTAAGTAATCCTCCAATGAACCATTCTGGACTGTTTCTTAGTGACCCAGGATTTTCAACATACAGCTCTTAGAGGGTAACAAGGAAGTAGCCAGAGGCCATGTTCCTGAGTGTGGTCTAGGGGAACAGCAGCTGGCCGGGGTCAGTTCCTGAGGCTAATCACATTCCCTGTCCTGGCTTCATGTCCAGGGGTGCTGTTTGGAACACCCAGAACAGGGTCCCCCAGGGCTGGCATCCTTCCTCAGAGATTGCCTAAGATCCAGGACTTCCTTGGAGTGCTCTGACCAGAATAATCATGTGACTGCCCTGTGCCAGTCTCTGGCCATGGCCACACTGCAGTTTTCCTGAGATGTGATACTCAGGTGAACCAAACAACCTACCCAGTCCAGCTAAAGCATCCACAGATGCCTGGCAGGTGTCCCCAGACATCAGGTCTGGGTCTCTGAGGGCCATTACCTCATGCCACAGAAAGCTCTCCAAATTTGGAAGTCCTTATCTTGACTCAGGATAGCCACCTTAGCTCCTGCTTCACCCCTCAGCCAAAGGAAGAACTGTAAGCTCTGCAGCAGAAAGGCCAAAGGGCTGGGCCCAGGTGGGCCCACAGCCACAGCCCTGTCTGCCCTTTTCTGCCCTCACCCCATTCAACACATATATAGGCATCACACAATGCCAGGAGCATCGGCCCCAATCCACTGCCAGCCACTGGGTCAGGGTGGAGGGAATGGGGATGGAATTCTGGGCAAAATTTCAGAAAAATCACACCATCCATGCCCCTGCCTTTAGGCTCCGCTGGCCCCAGGACATTAACCCCTGACTTTGAAGGTCTGCCAAAGAGAAGGCAATCCCAACACTGCCCAGGTCCTGACCCCTGGGAAGTTCTTGCTGCCAACCCTAATCCCCAAGCCTCTGACACAGCAATACTAACTCTTTTGAAAAATGAGTAAGACATATTACTAAAAAGCACATTCACTTAACAGAGAAAAATGTCCTTCATGGAACAGAAGCTCCAAGTTCAGGCATGCACATTCCTCTCTGCACCCTGTCTTCCTCCTCCTACCTCTTTCTCTCCATCCCCTTTGTCCAGTGTTCAAGGTATTATGCAAAAGGAGAAGGCCAGGGACTGCTGCCCCTTCAAAGCCTTAAGGTCCATTCCCTGTGCGCATCCATACCCCAACCCAGCTTGTCCCTTGAAGCCATTAATCTCCCTATGCAGCTAGGCAAGGCCATCCTGCCACTGGCCCCATTGCCTAATTTCTGGGGCAGGCAAGGGTCATAGCAACCCGGACAAGCTGCAGCCTGTCAGGGTGAAAGGACAAGGCAAGAGAGCAATGAGAAGAGCCCTCTGCCCCTGACCTTCTACAACTGGCACCCACACTATTAATGTTTACAATAATCCTTGGAGGCAGCTCCACATGCAAAGAGGCACAGAGGGCTGTGTTACCTGGCACATGAAGGAAGGAATCACCCTGTGGAAGGTCGAGCCTTTGTAGCCAAAGCCCTTCTCACCAGTGCACAGGGCTCTGAAGTTCTCTGAGGGGTAGAGGGAGAGGCAGGTCAACCAGACGAGTCCCCAACCTCAGGGACCAGCAGCCTTGGGTCCCCCAGGAGGTGAGCTGGAGATTGGCAGACCCTGGCCCACTTCCTGGATCTGCTCTGCCTGATTCACCTATGACTGGGACAAGTCACTTCCCTCTCTAACCCCAGTACCCAAACATGTGACAAGAGTATACAGTCCTGGCTAAGCTAACCAGGTCACAGGGACAAGGAATCCCAGGGCTGTGGGCACATTGGGCAGAAGGGAGGAGTTGTCTCTGGGAATTTACATGTGCCTTCCACTGGTTCTGAGGGTCTCAGCTACTACCAGACAGGTGGGCAGAGCCAACATGAGGCTCAGAGAGAAAGAAGGTCACCCCATGGCACCCAGCAGCTGAGCTTCAAGTGGAACTCCCACCTGATCATGGTTTCTGAGCCAAAACACTTCCCACCAGCCCACAGGACTTACTTCACCTACTCCCTTCCATCTGGACACTAAGTTGCCCTTACCTGCTGTTTTTGGTACAACATCTGCTTTTAGCTATGGGGAGAGAAGAGGGACAAAAGAAGATAGTTAGTCCAGAGGTAGGCGCAGAAAGGAGCCTCCTCACCACCCTAATCCCACAGTGGCCAAGGAAGTGTGAGAAAGAACCACATGGCCATTCCACTCCTGTTACTCCAACCCTCCCTCCAGGAGGCAGCCTAAGCAGTTATCATTTCTGGCAGCCACTTCCTGAACCCAGGGCTGGGAGGAGGCAGCCTCAGTTTCCTAATTTATCAGAAGGGACTAACAATATCACCCTGGCCCACTTCCCACTTCCGGGGCAGAACTGACAGAGGGACTGGCCCCAAACCATTAGAGACTCAGGGCCTAGACTAGGAAGATGCCAGTCCAAGCTCCTGGATGCACAGATGGGAAACTGAGGCCCAGAGAAAGGCAGGAAGGTATGGGTAAGGAAGGGAGGTTGGAGCTCCACCCAAGGAGGCCGCTTGCCTCTCAGCTTCAAATATCATTCTTACAGTAAATGAGGGCAGGGAGGATACTCCCCATTTCCCAAAAGAGAAATAAATAAATAAATACCAAGGATTCCCAGGAAACCAGATAATCCATACTAACTGACCCCTTTATTCAAAGTGGGGATAGGCTAGGGCTTCCTCTCCATTACTCTGTAGATCATGTGTTTCTTGCTTCTGAAAGGGAGAGAGGCAGGTGCTGAGTGTCCACTCCTAGAAGGAGGCTAGGACTGGGACTCCAGGCACACTGCCCCATTCTCAGGAGCGCCATCCCGAGTTCACCCGGTGGTCCGGCAGTGGCCTGCTGGGCACTCACCACCCAGAAGAGGAGGGTCACGGCCTAAGCCACTTCTCCCTTCCATTACCCAGCACCCCGCGCCTCGAGTGTGGGCGGGACGGCTGCGCAGACCAAGGGAGCACCTGGTGTTATGCAAGGGCTGCCACGTGAGCGCCCAGCGGGCCTGCGGCCGGTACCAGACCGACACCTAGGAGCTCAGCGCACAGACCCGGGTCTAATGGGCCTCGGCACCCCTCCCCCAGCCCGCCGGCAGCGTGGCGCTGGGCCTTCACCCTCTACAGGCTGACCTTGAGCTTCGACCTCCCTACAGGTCTTTCCTAACGCTTCCACAATTCCGCGGGAGGCTGCATGAGACTAAGCTGATATACCTTCTCAGAGAGGGGGAAACTGAGGTCCAGGGCCCGGAGGTGGGAGGCTCAAGGTCATCAAGCGCGCCAGGCACAGCAGAGGGCCGGGGTCCAGGGCTGCCCCAGGACGATCCCGCACGCCCAGGCCAGCCCTGTCGGGGCGAGTGGCTTACCTCCAGCACCACGCGGCCGAGTGGCTGCCCATCGGCGCCGACATCCAGGTACACAAGCGGGTTCCCGGAGGAGGAAGAGGGTGGGTTGTGGGCGCCGCCGCTGCTGCAGGTGCGGGCCGCCGAGAGGCGCAGCGGCGCGGAGCGAGGGACCGGGAGCAGGCCAAACAGGCGGGAGCCGCAACGCAGCGCCAACATTGCGGGCGCGATTGGGGCGGGAAGCGATGCGAGAGAAGACTACGGCAGCAGAGGTCACACTCCCAGGAAGCGATCCTTGATGACCGCGCGCCGCCACTTTTATTGGCCCGGCCGGCTTCGAGGCTCCGCCTCCGTCACACCCCCTCCAGGCTTGTCCGCGGGCGACCCCTACTGGCCACATAGGACGGGGCAGCCAGTTCGTGGAGCTGAGGAGCTTCAAGTCTCTTGCACAACCATGCAGCTCCATTTTTATGAGGATCTCAATAGATTTTTAAAATTTCCTATTTTAAAAGGAAAAAATCCGGGATGGGGTTGTGGCTCAGTGGTAGAGTGCTTGTCTAGCATGCATGAGGCACTGGGTTCGATCCTCAGCACTACATAAAAATAAAATAAAGATATAGTGTCCACCTAAAACTAACAAATAAATATTTTAAAAAATAAATAAAAGAAAAAATCCTAACTTCATGGTTAACTGAAAATATGACCATCCATGTTTTTCTTCTAATATAATGGAAGTCTACCTTTGTGCCCTGTATATAGAGACAACTCAAGCCAAATGACCCCCTGCCACCACTCTCCCCAGAGGTGCTGCAGACAGAAATACAGAAAGATGATAGCACTGAGAGTTAGAGAAAGGTGGAGATCAGAGAACTGATTAGAGAGGGATAGGGCAGGTAGGAGGAAGCAGATAAGCAGAGACATCTTGCAAGTTACCTCACAAAGTGACCAGAGGCCTCCTTGTCCTGATCTGAGCCTATCTCTAGATGCTTCTAGAGACCAGACCCTCTTCCAGAAATGCACTGTGGTCCTACAGTGCTCCTGCCAGGTCCAAAGCCCTCTGAGGCTGACTCCTCCTCCCCAAACCCACAGACTGACAGCTCTGGTGGTCCACACAAGCCAGGCCAGGCGGGTGGCGTTCCCTCCCACCAACACTCACCCTGAAATAGAGAGCTCCTGTCCAAACTCACAGCACCTGCAGGTAGATGCACAGCAGCCATCCCATAGGGAGTGCAAGGGAAAATGACAAAACATGACACAGAAGAGAAGGGACCTCAGAGAGGGGGACCACAGCAGGGGATTTAAACCCCAAATTACTTCATACAGCCTGGGAGGCACAGGAGGCCCTTAGTAAAAGAGTACCAGCAAGGGTCTGAGAGGGCATCTGGGCTCACCCCTGTACTCTGCTGATGAGAAACTGGCCCAGAAAGAGCAGTTTTTTGACCCTAGAGGATCCTAGAGTCCCGCTACCAGTCAGTGCCAATCCTTCCAGATACCTAGTAAAGGAGTGATGATAACCCTTACCCTGCTTTCTAACCAAGTCTGTTCTAAGGGGAAAAAATGAAGGAGAAAGAGGAATTAATCAACTGTTAGCACTGTGCCCAAGAGTGTTAGTAATGGATAATGTAGGCCAACTATTTGGGACTTAGGACCCAGACAGCTAGGAGTGTCAACTGCAGGGGCCCAGAGGCCTGAGGTAACAAGAGAAGGAAGCAAATTCTTGGAGGCAGGTGGACTTGAGCTGGGACCTGCTCTGGACTAACCTACCCCAGTCCTTGAGTCAGCTTATGGGAAGGGGTTGGGCAGCCATATGCTAGGCAGAGCAGTGTCCTAGCCTCCTGAGCATGCAAGCTTGACCCCTTTTCTGGAAATTCACAACCCACTTGTCTATATTTCTGTCCTAGCAGGAGTCTGGGCATTCATTGAAGCCTCAGTGGGATGCTGCCTAGGTCCCAGTCCAGCTTGGGGCCTCACTTTGCCCTGGGGAGTGGCCCCTCTTTTCTTGTGATTGTGTCCTGAAGTAAGCAGGCCTGAATGGGGCACCCACTTGCTCCCTACCCCACCTAATCCCTTAGTGTGTTGCCCAGACCCCTCTAATATTCAGACACACTGTAGATTTGAGGGAGGGCAGTGGCTCATCTCCCAGGCCCTGCAGTGAAGCTTTCTGAGAGCCAAGGCCCCCAGCAGCCAACCCCAGCCCCTGAGCTCACACAGCCCCCAACCATATCAACAGGGGTCTTTGGAACACTGCTCTCTCTCAAGCCTGCTCTTAGGACCTTAGTTTATTCCCCACCCTGATGCTGCATGAGCAGTCCTACCCAAGGAGAGCTGCTATCATTCACACAACCACTTCCACTCTGTATTTCCCCAGCCCTAAGCTCACCTGCCTATCACATCTGCCTGAAAGGCAACCCCATTTACAGATGGGAAACACAGGCCCCAAGAATTAGGGGAGTGAATGGCCCAAGGACGGTGTTGGAGCTGCGCCCTATCTGTCTGACTTCAGGATTGGGGTTATTGCATGTCAGTCCTCCTTGCCATCATCAAGGAGCTGGGAATTGGGACAGAGTGGGGTAGGCAAGAGAGAAGTCTTGGACAGATGGCCCAGAAATACAGAAGCCGAGGAGGTAGCCAGGAGCTATGAATCTCAGGGATCAGGGAGAAGGTTTCCACTGGGGGATCATCTCTGACATGACTGTGTCTGAGAGAGAGACCCAAAGATATAAAGAGGTGATTCTAGAGGGGAATAAGCCAGTGCCAACCCAGACAAGGAGAGGTCAGGGCACTGATATTGAGCATGAGCCCAGAGGCCTGTAGAGGCCCAATCACAGAGCCTGGAGGCCAGGCCGAGGTCAGACACTGTTGGATAGCACTGGAGAGCCACAGAAGGTGCTGTGCCCCCACCCCTAGCTTTCTTCCTTCAGATTATTTCTCCTTCCCTTTTTGGAAAATCAAACATCATCATTGCCTCCTGTCTAAGCCAGAGAAAAGTTCACCTTCCCCACAGGCTTGGTTGATGTCATCCCTATCTGTGCTGTCCTCAGTGGTATCAGGAAGAGAGACAGTCCCCAGGCTGAGCCATGGCTGAACACATGCTCAGCCCTTGAGGACACTGGGCCCAGGTGAGATCATGTAGGTGCTGGCACTCACCTGGCTCCCCAGCTATTTGCGACTCTGTGTCATCCTCAGAGACAGCAGTGTTTCTCCCCACTTGGCCCACGTGACTTCTTGTCCAGGGTGCGGATGGTTGTTGCCACCTGGGGATCCTATAACTGTGCCTGTAAGGCTTCACAGAGTGGCAGTGCTGGGCTCAGATTCATGTTTGGCACCTGCAAACTAAGGTGCTTGTGGGAGCTGGGCAGGTGACATAACTGTGATACCGGTGGAGAAGACATAAGTAAAACGGGGAGGGGACACTCTATCCAAATGGCTAAGGCATAACCCAGTTAAAGGGTCATTGCTGCCAGGCCAGCGCTTGTAGGTGGGACTGTGGGTCCAGAGTAGCCAGCCAGGTGTTCTCATTCTCCAGTAAAACCTGAAGACTTCAGATGTCATGCAAATCTAAATTTTAAATGTTGGTAACTAATTTTAAAATAAAATTAACCACTAGTGAGCCATAAACAACATATCTGCAATCCAGATGAGGCCTCAGGGACAGGAGTTCCTAAGTTCTGAGGGAGAGAACTGAAGCTCAGAGAGGTACAGTGACTTTTCCAGGTCACACTGCAGGGCAGTAAGTACTAGGACTGTAGCCAAATCCCTGTCTTCCCTCTTGCCAGGGTCCTTTTTCTTCCTGTGTCTGGGCCCTGAGCTTCACCCTGGGTATAGGCAGTTAGAGTGCAGTGTGTCTGTGGCTACAGGCGGCTGTTTGCACAGCAGGGGTGAATGCTGTGGTTGTCCTGGGGTGTGAAGTTAGGGTTGTGCTAGAGAGGGCCTCCAGGGTGAACCAGGGTGAAGGCAGGCAAACCTGCTCCGCACAGGGTGAAGTTTTTGTCCTGAAGGCTGCGTTTGCTGTCAGTGTCAAACTCTGAGTGCTATGGCCTGGGCTGCTGCCTACATAGCAGTCTGTAGGTAGAGGAGGCCTTCATCTCTCTTGGTCCTGCTTGAGGGGCTTGGGGTCTGAGCCAGCACCTGGCACAGAGGTTCTCAGTGACCCTGCTGAGAGGCGATTGTGATAGCTTTGCTCTGGGGCTGCTCCCCTGGGGAATCTCCAGGCTTCATGCAGTTCATATGAAAGCTGTAGCTTGTGCTGGCTTCCAGGACCCAGATCAGTATGGAGGGCAGGGAGAGGCCAGGGCCTGGAGTGGGCGGGGTGTCCGCCTTAAGGTCCAGGGTGGTGACAGGCACAATGATCAGGGAGACACCCCAAGGGGAAGAGTCCAACTGGGCCTTACATCACTCACCTGTGTGATCAAGGTCACCGCAGACCCCCAGGGGGCTCAGCAGGGAATGGCTCACACTCCAGCTGCCTGGTTCTGACTCAATCTCCCCAGCGCAGTTACTCAAACTCACAAGTCCAGGGAGCTCACCTTCCAGTCTCTGCATGTCCACTGTGGGCTGGGTGACCCCAGGGACTGAGAAGACTTCCTGAGAGGCCTCCACCTAGGGGAAGAGCTGCGGGGACTGGAGAGACAGGCGGCTGGGAAAGGGAGGCTGTCCACCAGCCTGGGCCTGGCAGCGTGGGCTTTGGAGATGGCAGAACTCTGATGCAGACCTGGCTCCCCACTCCTTCCTTCATGAAATGAACCCATGGCGTCCCTCCATCGTATTCTCTGAGCCCCTGCCATGGGCTCCATGCTGGTCTAGGTTCTGGAAATAGGTGATCGATGGACCCAGGGGCAAACTCACATTCTTAGGGAAAAGAGAGAACAATCAAAAGACTTCCAGAGAGTGATATGTGTTACATCAAATGTGTTACATTGCCATTTGCTAGAGTGACTGAGTCAGAGTCCCTTCTGGGGAGGCTCCAAGTGGCCTGACCACAGAGGGGACATTCGGACCCAGTCACAGGTGGCTGTGTGAACTCAGGGAAATATTCTGCTTGTTTTTGTTTTGTTTTATGCCTCAGTCTCCTCATATGTAATGACGAGTTAATAACACCTGCCTCGCTGAATTGCTCATACTAGGAAGAACAACATTACAAAGGCCCTTGAACCTACTAGGAGCGCAGGGAATCAATGAATGAATGAATGAATTAGTGAATGGATGAATGAATACTGCCCAGCCCAGGCCAGCTGAGGATTCAGAGAAGGGCGATTTGCATGGATGATATTG